AGGCTGAGGCCAGTGTGATCTGAGATCTCAGGGTTACTGTGATCTTGTGCACTGAGGTGCAGGTTCACAGACCGAGTCTGTGCCTCAGTCAGTCACCCTGCAGTGGCCCTGGTATCCATGCAGATCCCTGCACTGTCATTCACCCTGGAAAGCAGCTCCCTGTCCTGGGGGGGAGCATGAATGCTACCGAGGTCTGCCCAAGGCTTTCAGAGACATGAAGTCAGGAGGTGACTGGTTTGCAGCACTGTTCCCTCTTTGCAGTGCTGTTCACATAAGTCATGCAGTGACCCCTTAGTGCAGAATGTATTGGGCATCCCTGGAGCTGGCCTGGAGCCCAGAACTCCTGCTGTGGGTGCTCTCCTCAGTGAGCTATGGCACTGTCCTCCTCCATCTTATACAGGAGCAGCATCCCAAAAGGTAAAATGTCACCACTTGGACAGAGAGGGACCTGGGAACCCTATTCAGCTCTCCAGACGCCCTGCTGTCCCCTGAACCCTTTTGCCATCCTCCTTTGTAGCATTGCCTGAGCTCTCAGGGACAGAGTAGCCCCAGGAACCAGAAGTCACAGCAAGATATGGTCCTGCTAGTGTGCAGGGACTTCCTTGACATCACCCCCCAGGTTTTGGTACAGTTATTGGAGGTCTTGCCAAAATCCTGCTGGATGGGGTTGGTGCAAGGGTCTTTTATGAAAAAAAAATATGCTAGAATGGTTTAATGTGATGTGTGAGGATTGACTGCAGCAAGCAGGGCCTGGTGCGGGTTGTCCTTAACACCAGACTGTAAGCAAAGCCATCCTGGGACGTCCAGTGATAGATTCAGCATGTCTTTTCCTGCTCAAACCTGAGCTCCCAGTAAGCAAGGCTGGAGTTTTCCTGAGCTTGAGGCTCAGGAATGAATGAAGAGCTTTTTGTTTAATACCAGGGTGGCCCTGCCCCTAGAAAATTATCTAACCCTGTTTGGAACTGGTTTTTGGCCTCTCTGTGTCATGCTCTGCTGATGAGTTATTGGATTAATTATGTGCCATATGAAGAAGCACTGGTTCTTGTCCCAGTCCCAGCAACTGAAACCTTCTCTAGCTGCCCTGCTGCTGTGAAAAGCAGCACTGTCCAGCACTCCAGTGGTTTGAGAGGTCTCTGAAGCATCTTCCTTAAATGTTGTTTGTCTGTGCCAAAATGGCTTAATTTTGGAAGCAGTCCATGCTGATGGTGGTCTGGAAAGTCTCTCAGCCTATTTTACTGGTTGGAGAAGGGACTTGTAATAATAAATAGGAGGCAGCAGAATCCAGCAGGAGTGTGACAGTGGGCTTTGCTTTAGTGCTGACTCCAGAAACTTCCAGTGATCAACTCTGAACACTGAGCTCAGATTTCATAGAGCCACTGAGATCAATGTGTGTCCCACCAAACCCCCAACAGTGCTTTCTGAAGAAGCTCCACTCTGTACAGTGTGTGTTCAGCTCTGCATCTTCTTAACAGATGGAAATTATTATTCTACTTCACTGGGCTGCAGGACAAAGTGTGTCACCTCCCCAGCACACCTTGGCTGCAGAAACACACCCATATGCAGGACCAGGAGCCCCAAAAGTTGTGTTGGTCCTTGTGTGACAGTTGCCCACCTGGATGAGGTTTGCCATCCCAGTGGGCTGCAGGGAACACCCATGGGATCCATCACGTAGACTCCCCTTGCACAGCAGGGGAGGAGAACCAGGGATGCCAGTTGTGGACTTGCCAGGGCACATTCACATCAGCCACATGTCCTGTGTGGGTGACACTCCTCTCAGAGGGATCCCACCAGTCTTGCAGTGTGCAGGAACAGGCTCTGGGTGCAGGAGCTCGGCAGGTCATGGTGCTCGGTTGTCCCTGCACTTGGCCTGTGACCACCCAGAACAGGAGGTGAGAAGATCCCTCAGGAAGGGGAAGAGGAGAAATACTTTGGGAATGGCAAGGTGGGGAAAGTGGGGCATAGCAGAGGAGAATCAAGAGCTGATAGGGCAGAGATCTGAGACTCCACAATGCCAGAGGCTCAGACTGCCCCTGTGTGCACCAGGGCACCTGGGCCCTTGTGCTGCCTAGGGAGGAGGTCATAGACATGCCCTGACCCAGCAGTGAGGATTGGTTTGTAAGCACCCTGCACATCTCTGTGCCCAATGTTCCAACACTGTCCCCTAGACCCAAGTATCCTAATCACACTCTTCTGCCACCCCTGTAATTTCTATTCTAGGTTCCCCACACGTGAGGATTTGTCATTTCCTCATCCTTCTGCCCATTGCTGTTGTGCTGCTCTGCCTCTGCCCTGTGTCCTGCAGGGCAGGTCCCAGGTGGGACAGTGTGGCCTGGCCAAAGCCTGCCCAGCATCAAGGGGAGCAGAAGCATCACAGCTGGTGTCCTGCACCTCACTCCCCGAGCAGAAGCATCACAGCTGGTGTCCTGCGCCTCATTCCCCTCTGTGTCAGCCCCACAGGGTGTCTGCACTCTCCCAAGAGTAAGTCTGTCCTGCCCTGGGATCTCCTCTCACCCAGACAGTTTCAGCAGGGCCATAAGAAAACGCCTTTTAGCACTGCTCCTCCACGGAGCCTTTCTCTCAGTCTCCCTGCAGCATTCTCCATTTCCCAGCGGCTGTCCCACGCCAACCACTCTCTGCACTCCTCCTCAATGCTCAAGGTGCCTTGTGCAACCCCATGATGCCAGTAGAGGTACCAACCTTCCCTCCCAGCTAACATCTGGGGCCTTGGCAGTGTCTTGGTTTAACCCCAGCTAGCAACCAAGAACCACACAGCCGCTCACGCGCTCCCCCACCAATAGGATGGGGGAGAGAATCAGGTGGGTAAAAGCTAGAAAAACTCATGGGTTGAGATAAAGACAGTTTAATAGAGAAAGCAAAAGCCACACACACAAGCAAAGCAAAACAAAGAACTAATTCACTGCTTCCCACAGACAGGAGGTGTTCAGCCACCTCCAGGAGGGCAGGGCCCTATCACAGGTAATAGTGACTTGGGAAGACAAACACCATCACTCCAAATGTCCCCCCTTCCTCCTTCTTCCTCCCACTTTACATACTGAGCATGATGTCATATGGTATGGAATATTCCTTTGGTCAGTTTGGGTCATTCGTCCCAGCTGCGTCTCCTCCCAGTCTCCCATGCACCCCCAAGTTTCTTGCCAGCGTGGCAGTATGGGAAGCAGCAAAGGCCTTGACTCTGTGTGAGTTCTGCTCAGCAATAACAAAAACATCTCTGCATTATCTACCCTGTGTTCTGCACAAATCCTAAACATACCCCCATGCTAGCCACAAGGAAGAAAGCTTCAGCCCAAACCAGCACAGGCAGCAATGCTTGGTGTCAACTCCAGGTCAGATGCTGTAGACCCTTAAGCATGTTAAATTCAGAGGGAACCATTTATTGAGTATGGCCTCTTTGCTGCCTTTTTGTACTCAACATGTCTTCTTTCCTGCATTGAATGTCAGAATTTAACCTCTTACTAAAGTAAAGCTAAAGTCATGGTAGATGATGTTTATGCTTTTCTCTCCATTCTTGTGGTCTTTTACCCTGTATAGAAAAAAATTGATTGCTTTGGCACAAGTCATCTTTCACTAGCCACTACTGACAATTCCTTGTTTCCCTGCTCTTTCTTCTCTGCATACAAATAATTTACTGGTAATTCCTCATTTTCTTCCAGAAGTTGAAGTGTTGTGTGGCCTATAGCTTGCCTTTTTTAAAGGTTATCTGTAGAATTGTCTCTTTCCAACCTTTCTTTCATGTCAGACCTCTGTACCCCTGGCAGTGAAGCTGCAGCCACCGCAATGGGAAAGTTTCTTGCTTGCATCCATGCTCTTTGGGCTGCCTCTCAGCACTCAGCCTATGCCCTGCCCCTTTCACACTGGCAGCAAATTACAACAGCCCGCTAAGGACATTTCCCCTTTCATTCCATCTCCAACCACTCTTTGAAGGTTTTGGATAGAGATATGTAAAACATCCCTTTTTGAGGCACTTTCCCCAGCCCAGTCACACACTGGGATGTCTCTGGTATCCAGAGGAGCATGTGTTGCTGATGTCCCAATTCTGGAAGGAACAAGTAGATTCAGGACCAAGGTTGGGCCAGAGTCAAAAACTGAGCCTTTTCAGAGATGCAGAGAAGATAACAGCAATAAACTCAGATGTGTGGTGCTCCAGCAGGTCAGTGAGAGGGGACAGTGGGTGACCAGGTCTGAAACACCCCTGGGGTCTGGTTCTCACCCTGCCTCAGTCACTAGAGCTGGTCAGACACCCCTGGGGCAGGAGCACTGCCACTTCTGTCTCCTCCTCCCCCCTCACTTGTGTAGGTACCTCTGTGTCCACGACCCTTCTCCATGCCCTACACTCCCCTCCATCCCTGAGGAGTCCTCCTGGATCCTGTCCATTCAGCCCAATGGCTCCAGGCACCTGCTCTCTCTCTCTCTCTCTCTCTCTGGAGCACTGGGGCTGGTTTGGTTTTTTCCACAACAGCTCCAGTTACTGCTGTAAGTGGTGCCAATGCTGCAAAGCCCCTCAGGACACAGCTGTGGAGCAGCTCCTCACCCACTGTGCCTGCAGCTGGCACACAGTGGGGTAGGAGACCTGCCCACTGGCTTGTGTCTGTCCTCCTGCAGAGGTAACTGGCACTGGCAGGGACAAGGATGTCTTACAGTAGGGTGAACACAGGACAGCTCAGCTGGGAGCACTGGTGTTACTCTGAGCTGATGGATGCAGGGCAGACCTTTAGGGTCACATCCTCTGAATGCACCCTCATTGTAGCACCAAACTCACCCCTGAGCCCCTCTGCTGCAGGTTCTGCACCAGTCTGGGCTGCAGCTCACCTGCCAGCAGCTTGCAGGCTTGCTTAGAGCCCTTGAGTGGCCAACACAGAGCTTTCCAACCCCTCCAGCTTTTCAGCAAGCCTCCTGGAGAGCATCAGAAACTGCAGCAACATCCTCCATTTTGTGTCAGGCTTTTTTTTTTTTTAACCAAGTTTTCTTATTTCTAATTATAGGATGTTGCAGAACAATCAGCTGAGTCGCATCCCTGCAGAGGCACTGAGAGATCTTCCAAACCTCCAATCTCTGTAAGTCATTAAAAATCAATACTGTGAGTTGCACAGTCTCTTGGGGGCCTCAGGCTACCCAGTACTTGAGTCATTAGTTCCTTTGTCAGGGATGTTCTGTTCCTTCTTCCTTTTCTTTTCCAATTTAAGCAAAGATTACTGCCACTTAGAGTAGAAGGGAGGGCAGGACAGTTTTCAAGGAAGAAACACTGTCTTGGTGGAGGATGTTGAAATTATAGCTCCCCATGTGAGCAGCGTGATGAAAGGGCCACCAGAGTCAGTGCATATTTCAAGGAACACTGGAAAATATCCACTCAAAGAGGCTCTGTCCTCTTCACTGTGGACCACAGTGGGGAAGCGACCTGCTGGGGAGCACAGAGGACACTCTGGTCTGTCAGCGTGGGAGATGGCCTGTTTTACTCATATAGAGGGTAAATGCGTCAGGGTAGAAATGCTTTAAAACACGTTTAGGGATTCAGCCCTGAGAAGAAGCTGAGGCTGTGATTGATTGTGCTTTTCCTTTAAAGTAGCTATACCCACAGCAGTTTGTGCTCCTGTGTTCACTAAAACCACATGACTCTGAAATCCTTGCAGTTTGGCTGAGTATGGACAGTTGTGATCAGCCCTTGTTAGAGCTATTGGATGTAGGGAAGATCTGTCTGGGAGTGGCCCAGCTGCACAGTGCAGTGTGAGCAGCATTCCTGGAGCTGTAAGAGCTTTCTGAATGGGGCTGAACCTCTGAAAAACTGACCTTAGCCCCTATCCTTAACTTTAGTCCTAGTCTTTTATCATAGAAATGTTGGTTGGGTATGGTTTCTGGGAGTCTCCAGGCCAACCTCCTGCTTGGAGCAGGACTAGCCCAAATACCTGGTGGGGCAGTATAGCTTTGTCTATCCAAGCCTTGAAGCCCTCCAAGCACAGTGGTGACCTGACCTGGGGCTGTTCTTCCTGGGGAAGAAGTTCTTCCTCAAGTTCAGCTTAAAACTTCTGGGAGGCAATTTGTGGCCATTACTCTTTGTTTGATCACCTGGAACCACCCAGAAGAGCTTGGCTCCAGCATCTTTGGTTGTGGGTCACTTGCAGATCTCCTCTTAGCCTCATCTCTGCTGAATGAAACCAAACCAAACCAGCTCCACCTCTACTGGGACCCTGTCTCAGTCTCCAGCCCTCCACTGGACCCATCTGGTTCCTCTTCATCCCTCTTACACTGGGCAGCACAGAACTGGGCACAGCTCTCCCTGTGTGGCCCTCCCAGCACCAAGTGGGAGTTTCTGTAAATATTAATTTAAATATTAATGTGCAGTGGGCGTGTTGGCTAGGCAGGGTATGAATGTTCTTTCTGCCAGGAGAGATTTGGAACATTTGTTGTTGAAACATCACTGGCACGTGGTTGCGGTTGTTATTAAATTGTGTTGACATCACCACCAGTGTCAGAGACTAGACCACCCCACTCCAGGGATTTGGAGATTAGGTTGTTTTCCAAGTAACTTCCCTTTCAAGGGAAGCATTACATGAAAGGTCACTGCAAGGGACTGCCCCAGGAGCACCCTTTCCCCCCCTCAGTCTGTCTCTCCTATGCCTCTGAAAGTGTGACAACCACTGCCATCAGAGCCCATGGCTGGATAGACACAGCTTTGGTTTCTGAAGGCTCAGTCGCCTGCAGCCACCACTGCAGCTCAGGCCACATGTCCTGGGGCACTCACCACTGCTGGAGGGCCACCTGGGCCAGTGCTGAGAGGTCCACATGCTCTCTGCTCAGCCCAAAACACCACATGGCACATGAGAAATACAGAGCGCTCCAAGAAGCTGTTCCCAGCGCTTTGGGATTCCTTTAAGGCTCAGGGTGGCAGGATGGCTTGTCATGAGTCAGCACAGAGGTACCTGCTCCTAGGGCACTTTGAGGCCATCTGATCCAGTGTGGGCCCTGCAAGTGTCTCCAACACTGGGTGAGGGAGAGCTCAGGCCAACTGGAATCTGGAGTTATGCAGAAAGCAAATTTTAAGAAGAAATAAGCTCAGACAAGCTGAGGGGGATGAGGCTTGGAATTCAATCAGTATTAGGGCATGTCTGGCTAGGCCTGTCATATTAGGACTGGTTTCAAGAGCCACACCAGCAGTGACCAGAGGTTGCTGTGTCCATTTTCCTCCAGGGCATGCTGCCCCAGCTGGGAAGCTCCCATCCAGAGCCAAGGTGACTGAGCAGGGCCTCGTGCCTTTCCCCAGCAGCCTTGTCCCTTTGGACTCACCTGTCTGGGCAGTGATACCCCTCTCAGGGCTCCCCTCAGTCCCTCACCCCTGGCAGTTCAGCCAAGTGTGTCTTCCAAGCAGTGCACAAGCACAGTCCCTCTATGCTCCTTCACTCCTTCTCTCCTCATCTTCCCCATTTTTAGGATACCTGCCCTCATCCTCCATGTCGGAGCCACCTCCTTTGTGCCTTCCCCAGCATGGAAAGGCAAAGTGATCTTCCCAAGGGTAACAGCAAAGACAGGAGTAGGACCTAGGTGTCCTGGCTCCACTTGCCATGTTAAGGTGTTTCCGTGCCTCATTTGAGAGTCTGCAATGGCCCAATGGGAATGTGTAATCACCAGTCACCAGGAGACAAAGTGTTTGGGACAGACTGTCTGACAGGCCATAGAATCCCAGACCGGTTTGGGTTGGAAGGCACCTTACAGATCACTCTGCCACATTAGCACTGCACCAAGGTCTGTCTGTGCCTCCAGCTTGACCACTTGAAAGCATGGGGGGGCATGTGGAGGTAAAGATGATGATTTGCACTTTCACAGAATCACAGAATCAAGGCTGAAAGAGACCTTCCAGATCATCTAGTCCAACCATGACCCCAGTATCACTATAATCACCCCTAAACCACATCCCCAAGTGCCACATCCAGACACCTCCAGAGACAGTGGCTCCACCACCTCCCTGGGCAACTTATTCCAATGCCTGACCACTTTCAGTGAAAAAAAAATTCCAATATCTAATCTGAACCTCCCCTGGAGCAACTTAGAGCCTGTCACTTGAGACACAGCAGAAGAGACTAACCACACCTCACTACAACCTTCTTGCAGATCACTGTAGAGAGCAACTTTCTCCTCTTCACAGCAGAGAACCTTGGGCTTGGTGAAGGCCCAAGAGCTATGTCTGGTGACTAAGCCCAGCATGACTGCAAGGCACAGCCCTCTCTGGATGGATGGGGACATTGCTGAAGACACATAGTGTGTTATGACATTGTACCACTGCTGTGCCTCACACTGGTGGAAGCATGACCTGGAAAGTATCCCCTGCTGCTCCCCTGAGGGCAGTTCTCTTTCTAGTGCATATTTAGAGATGTTCTTCTGTAGCCACCACCCAAGAGGAGTGGCACCGTGTGGATAGTCACTGTGTCTCAAGGCAGACACAGGGCTGAGGTTCTCTGCTTGGTTTCCGCTGGTGCTGCCATGACTTCTCCCAGTTGAGTTACTCACTTCAGGCCATGAGGCTCCATACAGGTCTACATCAGAGTGATTTTTTCCCCTCTTTTTCAAGTATCTGAGTCATTTTCCACAAGCTTATGAGACTCTTGTGTATTCGTTGCCAAAAGTCTATCCAGGCTGGAACACCTATAGGTCACCCGGAGCACAGTTTCCAAGCATTACTGGTGAGGCTATCTGAGCCTCAGTGTCTATGTGCTGCCCAGAGACTACTTTTTCCATGCAGAAGGGGATGTGGCTTTATGGCACATCATGACAGTCCATGAGTTACCAGACTTGGGTGGCACTTGGTGCAATATTAACTCTCTTGTCTGTGAGTTGGCAGCACATCTCAGCAGGGAAGGGGCTGAGAATGGGAGCCAACAGGATTGGGGTGGAACAGCAGGACCAGACAGAAAGGGATTGTGTGCTGGCTATTTTCTTGCTCTTTCAGCTGTTTGCATTTGATGGCCATGTTTGTTGTCCTGGGATTCAGGCAGGATTTGAAGGGAAAGTGTGGATCCCTGAGGGCCAAGCTGCCACAGGAGAGGAAAGGCAGACTTAGTGCACAAAGCTTGTCTCAGGCTTACAACAGGAGCAGCCAAACTAAGTGAAGGCTGAGAACAATTGTTTTGAGTGTAGTGCTAACAAAAGAACTTACAAAGCAATTCACGGGATGAGGTGGCCAGACAAGTGGGGGAGAAGGGGATGTTCTAGCCACTACAGGACATAGAGAGGTTGCCATTTACTGCCTGTACAGCACCAGTTAGAGCTGAAATGCAGCAAAAAACTGTGTCAGTGGAGACTCTGAGATAGGAAAGTGAAAAATAATGACTATTAAACTCCAGTTGTCTCCAAATGTAGCAGCTGTCTTGGGTCCCGGGCATTGAGAGAGAATGAGAGAGAACACATGCAGCCAAACCTTGGTGGCACTTGGAATGGAACTGTTGTGTCCCTGTGCTGCACTGCTGAGTCCCAACTGGGCTCCCAAGCATGAGGCATACTCAGACCTGTACTGAAGTCCCTCTGCTTGTCTGCTGAGAGTTTCAGACAGTGCAGACAATAGATGCTCCTGAGGCTCTGCAGGATGTATTCTGTGAGGTGTGAAACCAGTTAGGAAGTCTGTAGCAAGTTTGGGAGTCTCTAACAGCAGGAGATCAACTTTACATACATGTTCAAGGAGAGGGAAGTCCAGGCAGGAAGAAACTCCAATAAATGCTGTTACTCAGAGGGCAGAAGGGAAGTCATTCCTCCTTTTTATCAGGTAATGATGTATGGAGAAGTAGGACTACTCTGTCCAGAATGATCAGTATATGAATTCAACTCCAGAGTGCCTTGTCCCCAGGAAAGCCTGTTCCACAATGGGGCCTTCTTCATTGCATATGCACCCCACCTGCCTTCCCACACGGCCTGAACCAAGGGCTTCAGCTCCACAGAGAGGAAGCAGCAGCTCACTGTACCATGGCCTGGGTCCTGCTCTCACATCTGGCTCTAGAACACCAGACAAGGAAGGAGAAACACAGTCCAGGCGTCACAAAGACCAGGCTTGCACTGCTCTGCCTCTGTTCTTGCC